ATTAGCCATAGCGGCGCTGCTGCGCATTCTTTTGCTTTTTATTTGTCAGAGGGAGAAGGCAGAAGCTCAGGCGACGCCTCCCCTACTGGTGAGTCTTTTGGGGGGCTCCCATTTAAGGGGCCTTTAAGGGGGCCCCTGGGGGCCCCTGGCGGCCCCCTGAGGGCCCCCTAGGGGCCCCCTTGGGGCCCTCTGCCAGAGTACCCTTGCTAGGGCCTACCCTGGGGGCCCCCTGCTAGGGGCCCCCTACAAGGGGCCCCGTTTTAGGGGGCCCCTGGGCTCCTAATAGGGGCCCCTTGCTAGGGGTCCCCCAGGGGCCTCTAATAGGGGCCCTATTGTGGGGGCCCCCCGAGGGTCCCCTTCTAGGGGCCTCTTATGAGGGCATGAGAATTCCCTGGAGGGTTCAGCTGGGTCACTTTGAGTGACTGCTGCTGCTGCTGCTGCTGCTTTCTGCTGCTGCTCGTTTGCTGCACGCTGCCTCGCACTATCCCTGCTGCTGTCTGCTGTTCCTGCCGCTGGTGCTTGGTGCTGCTGCTGCTGCTGCTTGCTGCTGCTCTTCCTACTGAACACAACACTGCACTACTGCACTTCTGGCTGGCTGCGTCTGCGTGCTGCTGAGCAGCAGAAGATAGAACAATATTAAATTAAATAAGTAAATAATAATTTATAAATGAAAATATTTTTATTTTAAATGGTTTCGTCTTCAGGAAGCGAAAGCTCCAGAAGAGTCACCCCCAAGGTGAAAATACACCTCAACAGCCCGAGGGGGAAAAGGGAATCGGCAGCAAAGAACAGGGGCCTCCAGGGGGGCCCCTCAGCAGCAGCAGCAGCAGCAAAGGGCCCCGAGGGCAAGCCAGGGGCCCCCGCCAAGGGGAACCCGCAGGGGTCCCCCGAGGCCAAAGACAGCAGCAGCGGCAGCAGCAGCAGCAGCAGCAAGGGGAAGGCCCCGAAGGGTGGGGAGGCAGCGGAGGCCCCAAAAGGGGACAAGAAGCAAGCACCAGCAGCAGCAGCGCAGCAGCAAACTAACTCAAGCAGCAGCAAGGCGCCTCAATCCACAGCCAAAGACAGTGCCAAGCAGCAGCAGCAGCAGCAGAAGCCCGAGGCGCGAAAGAGCCCTGCAGCAGCAGCGAAGGAGACAGCAGCAGGAACCAAGGAAGCAGCAGCAGCAGGAGCCAAAAAGGCAGCAGCAGCAGCAGCAGAGCCGGCAGACACGAAGGCAGCAGCCAAAGCAGCAGCGGCAAACTTCGTGAAGCCCCCAGCCCTCAAAGCCCCCGTAAAGATAGCAGCAGCAAAAAAGCAAAACGCAGCAGCAGCAAAAAGCATCAGTGAGGAGCCACACAAATGGAAACTATAGCTAGCCAGCTCACACAGCTAGCTGGCTAGCTAGCTAGCTAGCTAGCCGGCCAGGCCGGATGGACAGCTAGCCAACCAGCTAGCCCAGACAGGTCGCTCGCCGGAGCAGTTAGCCAGCTAGCTAGCCCATATAGACAGCTAGCTAGCCCATATAGACAGCTAGCTAGCCCATGTGGGCAGCTAGCTAGCCCATATGGACAGCTAGCTAGCCCACCTAGACAGGTAGCTAGCCCATATAGACAGCTAGCTTGCCCATACGGACAGCTAGCTAGTCCATATGGGCAGCTAGCTAGCCCATTTGGGCAGCTAGCTAGTCCACATGGACAGCTAGCCACTGGCCGGGCCCAGACAGACAGCTAGCTAGGTGAGACAGGCAGCTAGCCAGCCCCCACATGGACAGCTCCCTCCAGCCCGAGCTAGCCACCCCATGTAGCTAGCCAGCCAGCCCAACATAGCCAGCTAGCCAGCCCCAGCTAGCCAGCCCCATATAGCTAGCTAGCCAGCCGA